CCACTATAAAAGGAGCAGCACTGCATGAGTTAACTCTCTCTGGCCTTTTTTTACGTAATAGAGAACTAACTCTATTTTTTCCATCCAAGATCAATTACTGACTTGATCGTCGGAGGAACACCCTGAGGATCCAACTCTGCCCTCTTACGAGATCCTTCATATGCAGGGAAGATCAACGAGCCCCAGAATTACTCATCAAAAGGAGTTAAAAGGACCCTAATCAATCCACAAATTAGTTATAAATCAAAGTCTTAAATCCCAAGGACACTAGAAGTGATGGTGTCGACCTTCCTAAGGCCTGCATTGTTGGTCAAGCACTAAGCCGTGGCGCCCTCAATCCTGAAATATCATAATTATTTTATGACAAAAGATGATTATGGCCATCCTGTTAAATTAGGCTCATCCTGAGCAATTAACAACAGAAAGAGACAGCAATAACATTAACTAAAATTTGAAGATGAGTTGTTAGCTTACATATTTGTTTCTTTTTGAAATTACAATGCTAGCTTATGTATCTATCTTTTCCAATTATAGTTGTTGTTGTGTGTGTGTCAATAATAATCTTGGTCCTTGACGAGCCTAAACAACTGCAATCTCTTGGACCATAGTGAACTAGAGTACTAGGCCTCTATTAGAAAAGTCCAACGTCGCGGGATTTGTTTTGCAAACTAGTACTCATGCCTAATCTATTGCCAAACATTCATTTTTAAATAAAAAAGAACGACAAAAGAGAGGAGAACGAAATTGGTTCTTCCTCTTTGTTTAAAACTGGGTTCTTCACGGTGGCGATGGAGTGCCTCCCTCGAGTGCTCGCGTCGAGTTTGCTCTCCGTTGACGATCCGCACGTCTTGATTCACTGGAACGATGTCTTCTCCTCACGATTTGACGTTGTGGAGAACTTGCGTGGCAAGTTTGAGAACTCTGAACGAGTTTAGAAGAACTCTGTAAAAGAGTTGATTTGAACCGAAGATCGGTTAATAAGCCAATGCTAGAGGAAAGCTTGGTGGTCGATCTTAGCTGAGGAAATCCCACCGAACCGAAGCCAGAAGAGCCCCCGAACTGAATTGATCTTCAGTTATTTATAGAGGATTAAGGGGGTGAAACCGCCCCCCTTAAATCTCTCCTAAGTGGGATGTAACCGCCCCCAAATCGTGGGAAACGGTTTTAGAACCGTTCGACTCATGTTGAATGAGTCAAACGCCCACGTTGGCGTTCAGGACCCTAACCTCACGTCTTAGGATTGAGACGCGAGGTTGGGTGTTGGCTGAACATTGATGAACGCGAGGGTCGCTCGCGTTTTGGCTGTTTGTAACGCGGGTCCGACTCCAGCGTTTTGATGTTGAAACGTGGGGTTCGACCCTGGCGTTTTGATGTTGTGACGCGGGTTTCGACCTTGGCGTTTTGATGTTGAAACGCGGGGTTCGACCCTGGCGTTTTACTGTTGATACACGGGGAGGACCTCCGCGTCTTGCCTTTGTCATAGCGTTGCAAAGATCATTGTCTTGTAATCTTCGTCTTGGCTCCTTGAGAATATGAGAGTCGTCAGATTGTAACTCCCGATGTTGATTGTGAAGGCCGTTGATTAGAGCTTTCATCAGTTGTCGTGAAGGTCGTTAGATTGTAACCTTCAGCGATCTACGTGAAAGTCTTCAGATTGTAGCCTTCTGGAAGTCGTCAGATTGTAACTTCCATCATCGGTGTTTGATAGGGGATAAGCTATTTATTGTGATTTTTAGACAGCCTACACGTATTAGCTAATCAAATTAATCCTTGTAGTAACTAATTTTGAACATAACGTGGGCATAATACCATATTACCATTTAAGTAGATTTCAGATGTTGTCTTGTTTTGTCTCTATTTTTACAGTTTTTTCATTTTTCTCTCATGAGATTTTTTTTCCTCCTCTCAGTACAAACACCTCCTTCTTCCACCAAAAATTAAAAATAAAAATAAAAATAAAAATAAAAATAAAAATAAAATTCTTAATTGAGCTTTATATTTAATTAGTACTGACCCTCTAAACCCTCAAAATATCATGGTTTATTTTCACTCTATATAAGTAAAGCTTACTTAATTTTTAAATTTGATACTCCAAAGTATTTTGTTACACATTTATATTCAATAGTTTCAATTACATTTTATTTAGATATCTCATTCAGTTTTTGCTAGATTTTCTATTAAAATTTTAGGGAAATTTTCTTCTAGCCTCCAAAATAATTCCAAGTATCTTCCCCCCACTCAAGAAATTTTCAAGCTTCCAAAGCACCTAAATTCAAACCCACATTTCTCTGAGCCCCCGAAATCTAAAACTCAAGAACTTATTTGTACTTTTAAACATTTAAAGACCATAATACCCACACACTCTCTCTCTCACTCTCACTCTCATGATGATTAGAAATGGGTTTTGGAGGGAAAATTTCTAGTTCCCTCCAAATTCTTCCAACATTATATTGAAGAACATTTCCTTGATGATTAGAAACAGAACTTTCCAGCGTTTGTTCATGAGGTGAAGAACATTGTGATGTTGAAGACATTGGTGACGAGCAAATGACAGAGCATCAAATCGACAGTGTTGGATGCAGCGTCGCTGTTCCCACAAAAATGGGGGAAACTCCGGCGACTTCCGATATGAGCTACAAAGTGAAGCTAGGGATCAAGATTTGGAAATGGACACTCTAGATCGATCCAATTCGATTCAAATTTTACATATTGTTGTAATTTTTTTGATGGTGTTGGTGAGGGTTCAATTTACAAATATTAAAACGCTGGGTTTGGCTTGGCTAATGGGTTAATTATGCGATTAGTTGTTTGTGGAGGGTGATCTAGGTTAAAAATATCAAACCGTGTAATCATTTTAAACACTTCATTTTTCTTACGAGTTACTTGTTAAGGTAATGAGTTTGTTGTTGATGTTATGAGTTGGTTGTTAATGTTATGAGCATGTTGTGAACGTTATGAGTTGGTTGTGGAGATTATGTGTTGGTTGTGAAGGTTATGAGTTGATTTTAACAACAAACTCATTATCGAGATTCACAACCAACTCATGACCTTCACAATCAACTTATAATATTAACAATCAACTCATAATCTTCACAACAAACTAACAACCTTCCTTCACAACCAACTCATAACCTTAATAACAAACTCATTACAGTAAACTAACAACAATATGTAAATTTACAGACTCTGCTTTAATCTCAAGTCATCAATTTCATAACTCTCTACTATTATTTTACATATTGTTATAATTTTTTTGAAATCGATGACTTGAGATTAAAGCAAGATCTGTAAATTTACACATTGTTGTTATTTTACTGTAATGAGTTTGTTGTTAAGATTATGAGTTGGTTGTGAACTTTGGTAATGAGTTTGTTATTAAAATCAACTCATAACATTCACAACTCATAACATTCACAACCAACTCATAATCTTAACAACCAACTCATAACCTTCATAACCAGCTTATAACATTCGCAACCAACTCATAACATTATTTCACAACTAACTCATAACCTTAACAACAAACTCATTACAGTAAAATAATAACAATATTTAAATTTACAGACTCTGCTTTAATCTCAAGTCATCGATTTTAAAAAAATTACAACAATATGCAAAATAATAAAAAATATAGCACTCAGATTCAACCATTTCCAGATCTTGATCCCTAGTTTCTCTTTGCAGCTCACATCGGGAGTCGTCGGAGTTCCCGCCTTTTTCTTGGGAACAATGACGCTGAATCCATCGCAACTAACCACAGATCTGACAGCGCCGTCGAATTGGCGCTCTGTCCTTTGCTTGTCACCAACATCTTCAAGATCGCAGTGTTATTTGCCTCATGAACGAACGTTAGGAAAGCTCCATCGCCGATGTGGACGCCG